GTTACGGTCAAACATGACCTTCCCAGTGTACACCACCCGACCAAATACGACCCCCAACGCGCCACATCACGTCGAACGTCCAATGGTGTCCCATCGGACGTATGACATCCAATGGTGTCTCATGGGACGTCTGACGTTCGATGGTGTCCCATGGGACGTCCAACGTGATGAGACACGTTGGACATCTAATTTGGACGTGAGACGCCCACTTTAGACATCCAACGTGGGCGTCCAACAATGCATGTACCCCCAACTATCGCCAAGTGAGACCCAGTCAAGGACACGACAAAGTTATTCCTGTGGAATGGGTAGGGTATATTCACTTGATACTTCGTGCAATATATTTTTGGCTTCTTTCCGGTACATTAGGATTGCTCGTGTGTCAAAAAATGAATATCATGTCATTGCGTACACTCGGATTCGATTTCACTGACTGACTTGCGGCACTCGAATCCTACATAGCACTGAAGTACGTGAATCTAGGCGCACCAGGCCCGATGCGGGCATGTCCCGACGTTGTTCCGTCGACGTTCTCGCGATTAAGGGTAGGGAGCTGAGAAGGGCGTCAATCGGTATACATATCGACCTAGCCTACGCGCCACTACTATGAACCTACCTTAGTGGTAGAACTTGAGCCTAATAACAGTCTACAACCAAAGAACTTGGCCATAATAGCAGGTGCTCAGTCCCGAGGTGACATTACGAACAAGAACCCGCCTTCATGGTGCACCAATGCGCATGCGGATAAGAAAGGAGCCCCAAACCCGACGGCGGCATGTATAGCACTCAGGATGGTGGGAGATGCCCCAACAGCACAATTAGTTGCAAATTCAGGGCAGAAGGGGCGGGGGGGGCACCTCGTGAAACATTGCTTGTACGCACAGAGGCGCGGGGGGGTCGAGTTCATTTTTTTCCTGCCTTAGTTAGCGGTAAGACCATATATTCATTGACCACGCGTCCCCGAGAGGTCGGCACCTTGTCCCCGCAGCACCGATCAAATGTGGTCAATCGGCCGCACAACAACCAGATCAATCTTACCTGGCCCACAGCAATAAAGAACATTTTGGAGTGAAGCGCGCAATGTTATGAATGTTTTTCCTCATTAAGGCGCGTGTATGGCGATATTCTTTCGGCGATTGGGGTGGCGGAGTCAACAGTTGGGCTACCCGACGTTGCTGAGATATGAGTTGCTGTGGACTTCTCTCTGGCGGGTTTTCATTCTTGGGTTGTTTAGATTCTGTTTCGAAGAGTATTCACGCCTGCCTGGCAGAGACGACTTGTTGCAAGTAATTGCTTGTGTTGTTGTTATTTTTTCTACATGACATACGTACCGCGGTTTCCGTCGGGCGTTGTGGGGTTATTTGCGTGCACGCGCGTAGAGGCGCGCGTGAGGCTATACTCCGCGCTTCGAGAGAGTCACTTGAAAATTGTTTCGACGATCGATGTCGTGTGGATGATGTGGTGTGTGGCTTCTCCAACAACAAGCGCGCATATAAGGCGCACTTTAGTGTCACACTGCTGTGTTTCATCTGCATGTGTACGACAGGTTTGACTTGCACTATTGAATGCATAACACAATGAACAAAACTCTACTAGATAGTACGCCCGGACGGGGGGTGGGGTACGTACATACATGTAGATGTGCGGGATACGTAATACGTCTTTATTGTTTACTGTTTGCGCAGGTCAAACTTCCTGTTGGTTTCTTGTCCGTTGCCCAGATGTAAGAATCGGATGTGGTTGGGTGAGGCCTCCTGTCGGCCACGAGGAAACTCTTCGGGCTGGCGTATCGCCATTAGCCCACAGCCCGAAGCGTGTAATTAAATGATCTGTAAAAGTTCATGAATGCCATTTTTGTTTTGTAGGGTGGGTGAGATAGTCTCAAAAAAATTGTCTTCTCCTCTGCTCCCACGTATTTCTGGAGAGGGAAAGGGGACTGAACAGGGTGGGGTCATTTTCCAACATGGTTCATGTGGTCTTGCCGATTTCCTTCCGAAAACTGGAGTCGTTTCGTATGGGAGATTTCTGCGGACATCCAACCATGTTGAACCAGCCAACCAGCCGTCCGTATGTTCAGCCGGCCGTTGAGACCTAGGCGGCAAGCAGCCATTGGAGAAGCGCGGCAACAGACTAGTTAGTTGTCGAAGAGGTGCCAGACACGCCATCAATAACGCAGCTTCGTTTGTCCTGTCCAAACAAACATTCTCCTCTCGGCGCAGGCCGAATGGTTGAGTTTTGGTTTCTTCTCCGCCGATGCCCTACACTAGACTACATGTATGCATATCCGTACATATCAACTTTCTCTTTTTACTGCTGTCACATGTCACATCGCCAATACAGGTCCTGTGGTCTAGACTACATACAGCAGCGCACAATTAATTGCTTGCTCGGAAATACATGACATCTTGCGGACGGTATGCGGTACATATTATATGCGGTATACATCCATCCGTGGTGTATGAAGGCGGAGTGATGCAAGTGGTGAAAAAGGCGAACGTTCTCCTGCGTACAGCTCGGGGCGCCTGCCGAATGCCTCCCGCAACGCGCCGAGCGTGCCCGGGGCACATTTTTACTGCCCCTGGGGGCGGATCCTAGAAAGGCATGCGCGGTCGGATCCTCCAGTTACCCATTTTCTCGGGACTGTCAACAGTCCTGTCAGAGTGTCCTGATTGACCTTGAACAAAAAAAGTTACAGTAGCAGCCGGAGGAGGGTTGTGTGTGGCACTCAATAGCCATTCAGTACCCAGAACCGCGAACCGCGTTGTCTATCGTTCGTCGACTAACTCTTTGGCGCTCTTAACAAATCCATACGCGACAACGACGGACCACACAGCAGTCGTCCTGTATGGGATAATTATCAGGCTATCTAAATAATTCTGAGCGAGGTCGAATCACACCGCATGAAGAACCAGAATCTTGGGGCTTTTCCGAAACCACGTCCACAACTTGCTGATGTCCCCACCCACCCACATTCCTCGCCCACCCGGCCCCGGCCTCATACCTCATCGCAAGCTGAGCTCTTTGCTCCAACCCGCACGATCCCGCGCCAGCTGCTAAAGGGCCAGTCGGATTGCAGGCCAGTCAGGTACACTGTCTCTGCTACAGTAGTCGTATGCGGTCGGCCGCGTGCACAGTGTGCTGTAATGTGTGTGGAACTCTGGTGGAACAGAACTCTGGTGGAACAGGAGAGCAAGAGTTGCCCGTTGTCCCATGTCCTCCCCCCAAGGTACATAGCTCCAGGCGAAGCATATGGCATATGTACTATAAGATGGCCGTGCAGGCGACAGATAAAAGGTACATCGCCCCAGCGCGCACGGATTCGCTGTATGTTGTATGTAGCTTCGATCATGTGCCTCCATCGTCGTGTCACGTTGTCGCTTGACAGCAGTAAGTAATCTCCCAGTCAGTCGAATCTTGGACGGTATAAATCTTGTTCCGACGTTCCGACATCCCGCTGTGAGGCCGGCACGGATGTGGATACATCAGATCACAATGGTTATGTAGGCTACTCTGTTTTTTTGCTGGGCCTTGTGTGATCGTGCAGGACGGACACACAAATGTACTCCGCGTTGGCCTATAGAAAAATTCTCGGCCCCTCAGCTTGCGGCGTGTATATTCCTCTCCCACAACTTTATCTACGAGTGAGTGCTCCACGTTCGATACGTCAACCGCAACCACAAATCCATATTTCCAGACGGCGTGTCTAACCCCGGTGTGTTGTCATTTTTCGTTCGTAGCTCTTGCCATATTCCCCCAGACACGGCGGGCCATCGAACGCGCAATGATAGTGAAGCCCTCTCGCACGCGCGAGGCGTCAACATTTTTGTGAGAAAATGCTTAAAGAGGATGAGAGACATAGAAAAAACGTAGACTCTGTAGTCTACACACCGAGTTCTCATTATGTTGTGGAAGTGTAATTTTGGGAAAATCTTCATTAGACCTATACAACACACCTTGCTCCAGGTACAAGGGAGTATATTATACAGCAGTGCAGTGGTATGCGGCTGATATGGAGACACACACAAGCTACGGTTGTTGCCGCACGGCTTCGCATCAGTATTTCAATCTCACTGCTGTCTGCTTGGCGAACTTTATCTCTGTTTCCTGCTGCTTTTTTGTCGGCAGACAGAGTGCGGTGCCCGGTCATCGGCATGGTGAATGCTCCTCTTGCGGGAAGACTTTTAGGGTTGTGCGCCCTACTCAGACGAAGTAGCGGGGTGTTTGCTGGAAGCCATGCTCCTCACCACGGCCACCGTAACCTTCAAACCAGCTCAAATATTGAGTTTATCGAAGCCGTCGTAGGCACGGCCTTCACTACTGACGAGCAGAGCGGACTGCAGCTCCAGGTATGTGGATTACCGCAGTACTACAATACTGCTAATTTTTCCGTGTTGCCGGGTTGTTTGGGGTGATGGTGAGTGAGCGTTGTTGGTAGGTTGTTGGCGTGTGACTGCGTAGTTTCGTGCGGCGGACAGCAAACTTGGTGCAAACAAGTACAGAGAGACGATTAGTCAGGTGTTGTTGTGAGTACTTCTTCGCCCCATCATACGTTGCTGCTCCACACGCATGCGCCCCGAGGGCCGGCCGTGTGTACAGAATATATATCGCCTGGAAACCCTAACTTCCTGCTTGGTACCCATTGTTCGTTGTGTTTTTGCTTCGCTGATGTCGACCACAGAACGCTGAGCGCGGTGTGGCTGGAGATGCAACGACGACCATCACCACATCTACCACAGCCCAGGTAGACCTACCTGACATGAGGTTTAGACAAGAAACTATTGTTCACTGGTGTCTGGCAGATTACATGTAGTCACGTATGTGCTTACCAGCTACGAAGTACTAGATATCTGCAAGGGTATGCTCGGTAATGTTTCCGCCATATTTACAGCGAAGAGGGGCAGGTTTGCTAGGTGCCACCGCAAAAAAAGGCGTTCCGGTTCAGAAATAGCGCCTACGAAAATGTGTATCCGTCAACGAAATATGTGCTGCTATGTCGGTCACATTAACGAAAAGCTCTCGTCCCCTATCGGACACATTACTGCTGCTCTTGTCTCGGACTGCTGTGTAACCGCTACCTAAATACCTGCGACACCTCTCCCCGGTGCTCCCGCTCTTTGCGATCGTTGCTTGCTTTACAGTACGAATTTTACTTCGCACCACCAAGCATCGCGGGGGCCACGGTGAGAACTTCACGTGCGTTGATCGACACTTTGTCGCATCACACGCGCGTGCCTATGGGCACCTATGACGTGCCCGCTCACAATTGTAATACATGGAGAAAGTACCCTATGGACCACGACACTATTTAGCCAAGGAGTGGCGCACATGTGAGCAAGAACAACTCTGGCACTGGTGTAGTTTCCCTGGCCTTCGCACTTTGCACGCGATGAAATATTAGGTGAATTTTTCCGCTGAGTAATGGCGGCGGCAGTGCGTGCAGGAGGGCGTCGAATTAGCAGTCCGACGCTCGTTGAAAACTGTCCGAAGTTTCGCAAGCATCGTAATGCTTTCTTCTTTCGGAAGTGCTCCCCCGACGGACGTGAAATCCTCGCGCGAAAAGCAGGGTCGTAAGAGCAGAGGTAGTAGTTGCAAAAATGTCCTTTCCCTGCCAAGGCGGTGGAAACGCAAACAAGAGAACGACCCTGCTGTCCGAGACGACACTTGAGTTCAGGTTGTGCATCAACGCGTGGCCGAGGGGAAGTGAGAAGTGGTTGGATGCAGGGAGGAGGGCAAAGCACGATGTTAGTGCCCTGCCGTTCACAAGCGTTGGAGTACGGGGATTTGTTGTTCCCCGCACCTCTTGTGATGCGTTCTTTCTCGCCATGTGCAAGTAGAAGTCATTGCAAACTTTACGCTTTCGATTTGTCGACGAGGTATCGATGCGCCACACTCAACCCAAAGCGCTTTTCGCCTGGGTGGTCCGTTCATCCGGTCCCCGTTCTTGTTCTGACAGGGTTTCACCCTGAGCTTCGTCGGGCAACTGGATGGTGCGGCGTGGACCGTGGACATCTTCGATTTCAGCACCGATGCCTCCACCTGGGTCAACGCGGGCACCCTCACCGGGAGTAAGTTCTGCTCGCTAACGTCTACATAACAAGTTTGTGGCCGGTGTTCTCTTCAGACTATAAAGGTGCACTGAATTGGTCAAGTCGGTGTGAGAATGCCCAAGAATGTCCCCCAAGCCTTCCAACAATGGCTTGTGAGGCCCAACTTTTGTCAGGGGAGCATTTGGCACCCGAATCTTCTCGCGCCACACTTGAATGCCACGCTTGCTTTGCTCGCTACTCCGTCCTCTCAACGTGACAGTGACTACTACTGGGTGGGGGGACGTCGACATCGACTTCCCCACAACGACACCTGCCAACTTCATCGCTGCTGAATCGGTAGTATTGGTATGTACGCAACATGAAAGTGGGAAAAGTTCTAGATGAGTTTGTGTATCACAGGAAAACGGACGTCCTGCAGCTATTCGTTCCCGGCGTAGATCGCGTCAGAATAGGTAGCGCTGCCGTAGAACAATCGGGTTGGAATGTACGAGAATTCAGCGAAAGGTGCCGACAAGCCTTACTTCCGGTTGGCCATCCCTTGAGCTCAATAATCTCTGTGATTGTTCAATGCCTACCTACCATTCGCATCATTGACCACTGCTCCCCTCACCGCTATGCCCTTTGGCCGTCGTCGGCGCCGTGTGCATCGTCCGTCGTCTTTCCTTGCTACTTTGTTATGTTTACCACGTATGCTACCTGGCTCCCGAACCATCGGCCACGTTGACCCTGCCGTGGTTCCCGCTGCCTTGACTTCAGCTCCAACTAAGCGCCGCTAACACTGAGGTAACCAACATTGATGGAGTGTGTCGCCCTACAATACGTTGTTGTTCATTAGTGTATTACCCTGAAAGCGGGCTGCGGGCATCAAAGCACACGTAAGAAGCCTCAGACTTGGATCGCATTGTCAATTGTGTTAGATTCGTGCCCGTATCACAGAGAAGCAGTGCTACGAAAACACCGTTGCAACAGGGAAAGGGCCACTGAGCAGTGTACAAGCAAGAGCACGCCAGGTGGTCTGGTAGGCAGACTCGAATGTCATTGTCATAGAGAAGGTGTTCGATACATCTAAATGCCGGCGAATCGCCAAAGCGCTACTAGGTACAGTATGTCACCTACTCGCTTTTGCCAATTGTCTGCTGATTGAACCCTTGGACAATACAATACTTTCAGGTCGGATACCTCGACTACGCTGCGGTGAACGCCGTCGGAAGCTCGCCAACACCGACGCCTGCAGTCGCGCCGGTAGCTGCCCCCGTCGCCGCTCCCGTCGCCGCACCTGTAGCTGCCCCCGTAGCCGCACCCGTAGCCGCGCCCGTCACCCCCGCCGAGGGCTCCACCGCCGCATTCGTGGCGAAAGTTTCTGGTGCCGACATCCTGGACGGTCAGGTCTCGGGCGGACCACTCGCGGTGAGAGCATCATCGACCCATGACGTCTGTGACTCTAAAATACGTACCACCCGTAGATCGCATTGCCTCTCCGTGAGGTGTGTGGCCTACAAGATGAAGGTCCTGTAGAGCCTCCGTCGCCACGACTTACGCCGAAGAACGTGTCCGAACCTCGTCTATGCGTTATATCGCTCTCGAAGGTTGCCGACCTGGCCGCCACTACTGACACGGACGCTTCCATCCAATTCGCGGCTACGTCCGGCGAGGCTGCGGCGGTAAGACGCTTGACGACGCCATTGTGTCATCTTACGGATATCACCTTCCGGTTTCGCTGATCTACTGCAGGATGTTTGAGCCGGCAGCATTCTACAGGCGGAAAAATTGTCCGCCCAACACCTACGGGGACAACCGTTAAGTCGCAATCTAGAGGGGATATGAGCCACTCATAGCCCTTTTTGTCCATCGGAGACGGACCCAGGCGCTTGTTCTTCTCGACTCCGGCCGCACTACTTCTAGTTTGCTCGTCTTGCCGATTCTTGGGGCCGAACGGGTTTGCCGATTTCGGGCATGCATGTATCCCAATCAATATCCCGCCCTGTGCTTGTCCTGACTGGTGCCGATCGGTTGGTATGTTCTGATTCCCTCTGAATGCGATCAGTACGAGATGTATTTCGTCGCGCCTGCGGCCGTCGCGGGTCCATTCACGATCACCATCACGGCCCAGCTTGGCGCCGTCGCCGTCGCCAGCGACTGGAAGGTCGATATGTACTCGTTCTTGCCTGACGACAGCGACGGCTATGAGCTCGTCGGCGACCTTACCGGTGGTACGTCAACCCTCGTACTTCTCATGATGTCGTCGACCGTCGGTAGCGGCACGCAATATATTTATTCCGCAAGATTCGTTGGTGTTATATTGTAAGCTTGGCGATTTCATGGGATTATGGTCTGTCTCCGACCGGTGTGTCATGTACAAAATATTCAGCTGCACCCAGCGGACACATGTCGCGAACAATGCCACCTTTGTCAAATCTGATAGGACATACGTGCCCCGCCCGCACGCTGTTGTCTTCCTTCGTGGGCGGCCTTCTTGGTGTGTGTGGCAGTGACATCTGGATCTTGGTCAACCATCACCCTGACCCTCGATCCCGCCACCCCTGCGAACTTTGTGGAACCGACCGCCATCGAATACCTGGTAAGCCTAACATCACGAACGACCTTAGTATCGAGCGCCTGGGAATCACAGCAGCGAGAAATATTGCAAAGTTAAAAGATTCGATTTGAGGTCACGTGTACCCGCACCCAAAGGTACGGGCACGTGTGAGGTAAATGGTTGGGCGTTGTGGTGCCCAGAACCTGCGACAACAAGCGTCTTATGGAAGACGCAAACGCTCGCGATACAGACACGGCGCTCCGACCTTTCCTACCCCTATAACCCTCTCCCCCGTGATCTCTGATACGCGATACTTGTGCATTGCAGGTCCAGCTGAGGACCGAGAATGCTGGTGCCCAGGTACGTCAAGTCTATCGCCCCGACTACTGAAGCGTAGAAGAATAGAGGCACCTGTGGTGCCTCAACCTTCCCTTGGTAGAGGGATAGAGCCACCTGTAGTGCTTCAACCTTCGCTTGGTAGAAAAGGGTGACGATGGAACAACGTCCTTCGGAGGACCTACTGTATCTTGAACTTATCATTCCTTCTCTTGCACTCGTTGACGGTGGCGTTGCGTGTTTTTTTCTACATCATTGCCAGACCATCTACGTGGACCAGGTGGTTATTTCGGACGGAGCACAAGGGCCATCTCCAACCCCAGTTGCCCAGCCCGTAGCTGCCCCCGTCGCCGCTCCCGTCGCCGCTCCTGTAGCTGCCCCCGTAGCCGCACCCGTAGCCGTACCCGTAGCCGCACCCGTCACCCCCACCGAGGGCTCCACCGCCGCATTCGTGGCGAAAGTTTCTGGTGCCGACATCCTGGACGGTCAGGTCTCGGGCGGACCACTCGCGGTGAGAGCATCATCGACCCATGACGACTGTGACTCTAAAATACGTACCACCCGTAGATCGCATTGCCTCTCCGTGAGGTGCGTGGCCTACCAGATGAAGGTCCTGTAGAGCCTCCGTCGCCACGACTTTCATTGAAGAACGTGTCCGAACCTCTTCTATGCACTCATCGCTCGTGTAGGTTGCCGACCTGGCCGCCACTACTGACACGGACGCTTCCATCCAATTCGCGGCTACGTCCGGCGAGGCTGCGGCGGTAAGACGCTTGACGACGCCATTGTGTCATCTTACGGATAGCACGGAGGCGGGAAGTACACATTTTCCTTCCGGTTTCGCTGATCTACTGCAGGATGTTTGAGCCGGCAGCATTCTACAGGCGGAAAAATTGTTCACCCAACACCTACGAGGACAACCGTTATGTCGCAATCTAGAGGGGATATGAGCCACTCATAGCCCTTTTTGTCCATCGGAGACGGACCCAGGCGCTTGTTCCTCTCGACTCCGGCCGCACTACTTCTAGTTTGCTCGTCTTGCCGATTCTTGGGGCCCAACGGGTTTGCCGATTTCGGGCATGCATGTATCCCAATCAATATCCCGCCCTGTGCTTGTCCTGACTGGTGCCGATCGGTTGGTATGTTCTGATTCCCTCTGAATGCGATCAGTACGAGATGTACTTCGTCGCGCCTGCGGCCGTCGCGGGTCCATTCACGATCACCATCACGGCCCAGCTTGGCGCCGGCGCCGTCGCCGTCGCCAGCGACTGGAAGGTCGACATGTACTCGTTCTTGCCTGACGACAGCGACGGCTATGAGCTCGTCGGCGACCTTACCGGTGGTACGCCAACCCTCGCACTTACTTCCCATGATGTCTTCGACCGCCGTCGGCAGCAGCACGCAATATATTTATTCCGCAAGATTCGTTCGTGTTATCTTGTAAGCTTGGCGATTTCATGGGATTATGGTAGTGTACCTTGTACGAATGAACCAGTTGCGCGAAACGGACGCGAGCTGCAGACGACGCGAGATTCTTCAAAATCTGACAGGATGTACGTGCCCCATCCGCATGCTGTTGTCTTCCTTCGTGGGCTGCCTTCTTGCTTTGTGTGGCAGTGACATCTGGGTCTTGGTCAACCATCACCCTGACCCTCGATCCCGTCACCCCTGCGAACTTTGTGGAACCGACCGCCATCGAATACCTGGTGAGCCAAACGTCGCGAACCACCTTAGTATCGATTCCCTGGGAATCACAGCAACGAGGAATGTTGCAAAGTTGAAATTTTCCGATTAAGGTCACGTGCACCCGAAGGTACGGACACTTGTGAGGTAAATTGTGGGGCGTTGTCGTGCCCAGAACCTGCGACAACAAGAGTCTCACAGAAAACTCGTTAATCCCTTTCCCCCTGATGTCTGTGGCGCGATACTTGTGCATTGCAGGTCCAGCTGAGGACCGAGAATGCTGGTGCCCAGGTACGGCTAGTCTTTTGTCCCCACTACTTTAGTGCATAAGAATAGAGACCACCTCCATTGTTTTCAACCATGTCTTGGTAAAAAGAGGGACGCTAGAAAATTCGCTTTGGGGGATCCACTGTTGACCATAGCATTCCTGTCTCGTGCACGTTGGCGTTGGGCGTTGCTTGTGCTCCCTCTGCGCCACTGCCAGGCCATCTACGTTGACCAGATCGTCGTCTCGGACGGAGTACAGGGACCATCTCCTACCCCAGTGACACCTCAACCCGTAGCTGGTCCGACTGCTCCGCCTGTGACGACTCCGCCCGTGACTGGACCGACCGCGCCTCCTACAGTTGCTCCTTCCGTTGCTCCTACCGTCGCTCCCACGGCGGCGGCGACCCCTGGTCCCGTCCAAGTGGACATGGTGCCCTGCATCTTAGCCTCCGAGGCTGTGGTGAGCGGACGGGACACATTGGTTGGCGTGTGTCGGCCCTTGTCCTCAGAGAAGCGGGGGTTAGGGTATCGGTTGGCCGACCGGGATGTGTCGCACTTTTTTCTCTCTCGCTGTCTCGCGAAGGTCTCGTTACATGTAGGGAAAATGTTCCTGGTCGCAGACGAAAGGTTGATCCCGTTGACTGTTGGGACTCAATCATTCCGTCGGAAAAACAACTACCGGTTCTCGCTCTTTTCTGTGTGTCCGCAGGAAAAAGACGCGGGTCCCGTGGCTTCGGCGTACCTGTTCAACGAGTTCTTCAAGGGCTTTTGGACAGCCACTCAGGTAAGTAAGGCATTCGTTAACCAAGTATATAGTTCGGGGTGGAAGCAGGCAAAGCGTAGATTTAATTAGTATTAGCGCAACTATCGCTCGGCGAAACGTACAGATAGTTAGTCGTCCCAAGTTGGAGCGAGTCAATTCCACTGATTAAGCGATAACCGCGCCCAGGGGAGTAGTAAGTCCTCCCCCGTCATTTTGTTGTTGTTTGTTCGCTCGGGAACGGCGTAACTGCAAGAAGCATATACCGGTATCTCGTTCGGAGAGAGCGGGGTACAATGCTCTGACCAATCATTTCGCATTGTCCCTCTGGGTTCTCCCTCGCCTTACATCTGGCGCTGTCGAAAGCCCATGTTCCCTTCCGCGTGCCCTGCAGCCGACGTCGTCCCGTGTCTGTACGCATTTTCTCTTGCCAATGGATGTCACCGGCGTTAGAACGTCCAAGCGCCCCCTGCTGCCGTGCTGGACCTTGTGAAAGCTTCGAATGCAGACCACGGCAAGTGTAGCGTCGTCTACGTCGGCATCGTTCCCTCTGCCGCCCAAAAGCTGCAGCTCCAAGACTACTCTCGCAAGTTCAACGTAAGCTGACGACGGTGTCGGGGCGCGTGGTGACTATTATCCGCGAAGCGGAGCAAAGGAACACAAGTACAGCGCACGGTGTTCGTACCGTGTTGTCGGGTGTTGTAGTGAACATGGGCCGCGGCATACGTATGAAGCTTTGCGATCGTGGCGTACTGTAGACAAAAATTCCCGCGCTTGAGTGAGTATTTGGGTCGGCTCCGCGTGTTGGCCCGGCGGCTCCAGGCAACCGCTACAGTCTTCGCACCTGTCTCTGTCCGTTAGGCAACCCTTGCGTCTCAACTGTTATTTTTGCTCGCCCCGTGACTCCTTCCCGCCAGGTCCGGATCGTATACTTCGACATCGCCGACACCATTCTCGACACGGAAGTCCAAGCCAGGCTGGGCATGCAGTCTAACTTCGACCAACCTTTCGTGGGGGCGCCGAGGGTCAAGCGGACAGGTGTGCACGAGGGTCTAGCGTCTAGCAACCTGTTCTCATGCTTGAGGAAAAGCACCTTTACCTAGAGCTGGCGGAACCCTCACAATGCATGCTCGCGGGGTGCCCACCAAAGGTACATTTCCACATGTTTTCCCCTCCAATTCAGCTAACCCCAACGGCTTCTTGCTATATTCACCACGCGCAGGCGGGTCGACGGACAGCATCGCCCCCGCGGACATGCTGACGGATCCCACTCAAAACAACCTGTTCAACAGACCGGTCGTTACGACGGTAGATACTCTCCCGGCCGGCGTCAGCATCTTGGCACAGTGAGTGATCATACACCTTGCTGCGTTGAAGCCCGGTGTTGTTCCCTGACTCGTGGGGCTGGGATACGCAGGTCAGTGCCGACACCACTTTTCGTGGTTGGGAGCAGCCCTCTACCTCGACTAGGGCGTTAGGCAGATACCGATATGCTTACATACGTCTACAGCATGCTATCCAAATCATTTGTGTATGTCTCTACTGATGTGGTTCCGCGTTGGTTTCAGCGTTCGGCATGAAGGCCCATGCCTCTTGAACACCAACGGACTGGCCCCACTCGTGCACTATCGTCTATCTGCCTTTCCACCACCATCAGGTACGCAGACGACAATGGTGACGCCATCGGGGGGGTGCTTGCAGGCGTTACCAACCCTCAAAGCGCTGCTATCGTCGAGTACATCGGAGCCGACGGTCTGGAGGAGATGCACGTTTTCATCAGTCTGGCGTGGTTCGACACAGGATCTTGGGCGTGGGGCCACTTCATTTCCGAGTGGGGTACCAGGGGCATTTTCCAGGCAAGAGACATGCCTTGCGACAACTGCACCCAAAAACTGCGCATGGGCACACGAGTGTTGGCGTTGACTATCAAGCGACTCGTGGGGTTACCGCTTTTTCTACAACGTCCGTACTGTAGTGCCTGCGACGGAATACTTGTACTTCGTGACCTCTGGTATACATGTAGTCGACCGACAACCTTCACAACTTGAGTGTCAACCTTCCACCTCAACGTCGTTCGTTCGCACACGGCCGGCGCATAAGCTTACCCGAAACCTCGTATCTGCTGGCGTATTTTTCCTCTTCCCAGGGAGAGCGTCGCTTCTACCTGGGGGGTGTCGTGGACGATCTGTTCCTCTCAACAGGTGGGTGTGGTTCGGCGGCCCCAAGCAGAAAAAGTGTAGAACAACCTGAATTTTTTACTATTTTTATTGTTTTTTATCCGCGGACGAACGTAGCCAAGACGCGGCCAACAACGCCAGACTTGGGGGGGATATTGGCAATCTGGCAATCGCTTCTTTTCGCCTGGGGGCACGAGTCGTCGACAACAGTGGTAGAGACTAGATACCACGTCGAACTAGAGTAAAATCGGCAGAACACATAGCCTGGATTACCCTTGAAAAAGCGCCTGAACGAAATTTCTCAAGCTCGTTCTTCCGTGAAGCTGACATTGGAACACTTGCTTCATCTTTCGATTTCTTGCCGGGAGACACTAAGGTGAGCCTCGTGAACAAGAGATTCGTCGGTACGGAGGCGGGGCTACCTACTGGGGCGCAGATGTACCCTTCGAGTATTTAGCTGAAGGAGACATATGCCACAAACAGTATCACACCGCCGTTTGTTGACATGTCACGCCTCCAGGCGTCTGGATTTATGACCCTCCGTCCTTCTTCGGCCCGGAGGTGAGACTATTGTATTGTAGTTCGATGTTATCGATGCGTGCAGCATTTGTTTTTTGCTCTTGGCCCTTGGGGATGCAGAGATGGAAGGGTCGCCGGCGCCCTCCAAGCGTTTTGAACACGAGAGGCGAAGAAGAACGCATGACAGTCGGGGTGAAGGAAGCATTTTTCTACATATTACATTGTTGAAGACCTGCATCTCTTCCCTCCTTTGGCGGCAACGCTGCCTGCCAAAAGGAATCCTCCGGCTCCTGTTGCACGTCTGGAGTTTGAGTGCCGATTTCCACCTATTACCTGCTGGCTCTTGGTCCTCGTGTCATACGCGAATGTATTCGGCTTGGTGGTGGTGCTTTTTTCAACGCCACGCAGGAGAGGCTTTCGGGAGCCGACCTCCAAAAGTTCCAGAACTCGGAAGCGGCGTTCAACACCGAGTACGGCGCGTCGGTCAAGACAGAGCACGCCTTCAACGGCCTTGGTGTCCTCGACAAGGTGACAACGATAGCGAGAAGAAGTGCGCTGGCGGTTGATATAGCCCAGGCACGTTTCAACTGCGTCGTGTATGCGGGTTGGTTGTCCAAGCGCTAGGTAAGACGCGCGCGACACACACACACACACACGAGGTGGTGAGAATAGCGAAACATTGTCCAGAGGTGACAGCTGGATAGGTAAATTACTTCATCTGTTGAGAGGTTTCGTCCTCTTCATCTTGGTGTTATGTCGCGATACTGCACAGGTGGGATCAACCCGGAGGAGCTGGGTGGGTGCTGCCGCTGATATGGGCCTTCTCCCTAAGGGTGATCCGCCGAACCCGAGCACAGGTGCGTTCCCTTGCATCAGCAATCAATCTCAACCGATCTTGATTCCGTGCACTCCGTCAGCAAGAGTCAACTCTCATGGATCACTGAATCATGATGCCACTTACACACCGACGCCTCTGAACGTCCCTCAGGTATCCCCCAAATAAGCGATCCCAACTGGCTGAGCATCCAGTTCAACCCGGCCGCTGGAGAGCAGGGGATGCAAGACGACTACGACGCCGGTCTGTTCTCTTCTGACGATCTGCTGGCCCGCGTTCAAGCCGACCTCGATGCCTTCTTCTGGCAGAGCCACACCTTGACTCACCTGTCTCGCGACAACCTTGGCAAAAACGACTGCGACATCGAAGACGGAGGTGGGTGTGGTCTGCGGTCGGTGGCTGGCGGGAAGAATCCTCTCTCGTATCTAGTGACGTCGTCATATCGAGATGTACATAACTGTCGAATGCCGTTGCATGTGTACGTATGTTTGTGGGAGTAATGACTTTGAGGTCATAGCCTTGTCGGAAGCGTCAGCAACATCTGAAGTTTCGCCCACCCGCGGCCGGTAACGCCTTGCTCAGGCAACGTGCGCCTGGGTGTAATGTTCGGCATGTTCGACAACGACAACTACAACTGGCGCAGCATGACGAGCCCGGGCATCACGGGGCTGTTCAACCCCAACTGCCTCCAGTCCGGCGATGAGAACCTCATGAAGTGCTACCCCGGGGACAACACCTACAGCGGAGCCCCACTAACGGCGGTGTCACTTATTAACGAGAACAACCAGTTCCACTCCATGACCACCACGGTCGGCACCAATGGTGAGAACGAAAAGTTGTTGGGGCCGCTGGTGCGGTTGGCCTGTGGTCATGGTGGAGTTCTCCAGCCCCCTTCACTTTAGAAGGCGGAGATCAATTCACCGTTTTGTTTGTCGCGAATAGCTGGGCGTCATTGTTTTTTGGGGGATTTCGACAATGGTTTCGTGGTTTTCTTGCAGATGCACAACAAGTCCCATCTCTATTGGATGGCACAATTGATACCGCGTGTTTGCATCTGGAACAGTTGATTGGTGGCTTGAAGGAAGCAAGCACCCGGGGACCATTTTGAAGGCGAGGATCCGAAGGGAGAAGTGAGAATCCCCCAAAACATTATCCGGTCGCTGTCCATGAAGTAGTAGTTTCCCGCTCCAAACCCCTCTCAATGTGGTACTCACTCGATTTCACAGGTTATGCCGGAATGCAGATCGTCCCTCGCTTTGCCACGAACGTGTACTACAACTGCGTCACCGGCCAGGTACAATGTGCATTTGGACATGTAGCTCGGTGCTTCCGTTTTTGTTTTTCCACTCCTTGCGCGTACATACAACTTGGGACATTGCGGCAAAAGGTTGTGTTAACGGAGAGGGTAGAAGAGAGTGAGCGAAAGAGACAGAGAGAAAGAGAGATTATGGTGCCCTTGGAAAAGAAAGGCCGTCATTAGATGAGTCAAGCCCGTGGCAGGGCCTGGCTACAAGGACTGAGATTGCTTGCAACGACTGCAACACGAGCGGGATGAATGACGTCTATGGTGTGACACTGAGAGAAACACTTACCCCACTTGTGTGCTTCGTCCGCGACCTCCTGCTCAGTGCCTCATCGACGAGAACGAGAAGATTCGTCGCGACGTGTGCGGCTGCGCGGACCTCAACCCTGCTAACCCTCAGGTGTGCATGTCAAACGGGAACCCGATTCTGGCGTATTGGTGTGACGAACGGAGGAGAGATGGCCCGCTACCTCGCATGCCCATGCTTTCCGTTCGGTCGTCCTTGTACGTGCCCTTCCCTTTGTACGTGCCCTTCCCTTTGTACGTGCCCTACCCTTTGCTTCGCTGTGAGAAGAAATGCGGGTGGTTTTTGGCCGACCAAGACGAGACGATGCTATGCAGTATTAATATGACACTCTTTGAACATTTTTGCCGAGTATCTAACCCAAGGTATGCACCAATCCTAACCCGCCTAAACGCGTCCGGTGTGCAACGCAGGGAACCTGCTCTGCTTGCCCTTCAGGCACGCAGAGCTTCAACGATGTTGCTTCTTCCGACCCGTCGATCGGACCGCTCGAAGCTCTGTTCCAGACGGAGGAGCGAACTACCACCCGCTACATTCTCACCGGACGGAGGTGTGCGTGGTCGGTCTCGCGAGTCAGCGGTTAGGGTTGTGGTTCGCAGTGTTTCGAACCTTGGACTCTTGAAACTGCACGCACAAGTTCGGGGCGGGTAGACCATTTCGCGTGAAATTGAGTGAGCCCTCAATGCCAAAGCGGACCACCTTCCGTTCGCAGTTTTTAGACTCGGAGACTTGGTCTAGGGCTCTCGGTTCTTCGACGTTGTGTAATGGGCTTGCTTCTAAACGCCATCGACCTCTTCCCCCCTCCCCGGCCTCTGTACTTGTCATGAAAGGGACAAGTACATGTTCCACCAGGCGAATGTCATCAGCACGACTTGGACAACCGACACGTCGGACCCGATGTACGTCAGCCCTAGGCCCACCAACGACCCTTCGCTGCTCGAGTACTGGTACATCCGTGTCCTTGCCGAGATGTCCAAGTACATCAACACGGGTTCCTTCCCCATCCAGGTATTGAACCCGATAGCGTCGCGGTTTCCATGACGTGGTCTTGCGAGTCCAAACTACCTCCACGGAGCGAGGGTGCTTGTCTTCGACTTGGGTTTGGCCCTTGTGGTACGGGGATAGAAAAGCGCAATAGCATCCCCGCACGCATTTGTGACGTCACGTAACTGTGCTTCGTCCCAGCTCCGTGCTAGGCCGCAGCACTCAACACACGGCCTTCTCTCTTGTTCGGCGACGCCCACTCACCCAGTGCCGATCGTCCCTTGTCCGATCCTCTTCTTCACCTTGCTGGAGCAGACTCTCAAGTTTGACAATCTGTGCCACAACTTCTACCAGCACGAGGACCTCGACAGCTCGGGTGCCGTTCTGACGGCCACCAAGGATCCCTCCGGTGCCATTACCGGTTTCTCCCTCGAGACTTCCTCCGACAACGGCGCCCCCATCCCCTTGACAGTACCCACAGCCAGCGCGGCGGAGGTACGCTGTCCGTTTGTTGTTCCTGGTACGAAGCTCCGGGTCTGGGAGTTATTGATGCTTGGCACGCAGAAGCCACGCGATGCAGTACCTATGCTGATGGCACATGTGTTCAGCACCAACGCCAATATCGTCTGCAATTGCCAATAACACGTATTTCTCCGGCCCCGCTTGTGGTTGACATGACAGATCCTTGCGACGTTGGGCACCCTCTTACCGTCCAAGACCGAAACCTACGGCGCCGACACCACCTACACCTTTGCAGCCGGCACCCTCAACACCGGTACCCTCTCCAAGCCCGACGTCAGCGAGTGAGTCCACGGCGTGATACCTCGTACCCGACAGACCTTTCCCTACGGTTTCGAAAAGACATGTCATTACTTTTTCCCATTTTACGTTTCCCCGTTACGCGTAACCGTAGCGAGCCGAACGCTTCAACTGCCTTCCGTTCTGTCAGCATTTTGTCTAACGTCAGCGTGGTGTGCATGGAGTCGACACTTGCATAATCATGTGTGATTGAACTCACTCCTCTTCTTGTTTCTTCGAAAGGAATACCCGCGTGGCGTACGGCCGCGGTCTATTGGAACCCGTCCAGTATCCATCGCCATCGTCACTGACCTCCCGATGTACCAACCCCTAGCAATCGCCCTGCGTCCACTATGTTGGTTCTGTGTTCCACGCCCTTGTCCTTGTCCTTGCCCTTGCCCTTGCCCTTTTCCTTAGGCTCGCCCCCATCCCTCAGGCAACCCTCACTCCCGCCGAACAGGAAATCGTTGAGGACGCGGCGGAGGCAGAACTTGAGGCAGAGGTGTCATCTATCGTCGATGTTGCGGTAAGGTGTCACGCCTTGCCCATGTCGCTGCTGTGATAGCCACATCATCTGCAGGGGTTGTGTAGGTGTTTTGCCCAAATCGTACAGGTTCTCTAGAGCTGCGAAGCCAAGTACTCATTTTTAGCGAAGTCAAGTGTTCACGCCGCTACCACAAATTCCATGGGCCTCAGCCGTAGTTTTCCCATTTGCCGTGAATCTTCACCTAGCGAGAGACGAATCCCACAGTCCGGTGGTGGACAACATCGCGCAAGGAGTTTGCATGAAACACTCACTCTTGAATCCTGGAACCCTAACCGTTAGTCCAGCTCTCGGGCATGTTCCCGAGAGAACCAAATGCGAGACAAAGGGGACCCTGCAGGAGAAACAAAAAAGACTGGTTGTCTTGAAGAACGTTCCCTCGTGACGAGAGGTGGACAGAATAAACGGCGTAGTCGAAGGGTACGGTTTGGCCATGACCCGTTTCTCTCTCCAACTCCAGCAACGGCATTTTTTCATGCACCAATCCAATCCCATAGTGAAATCGTCGGCAGCCCTTGGATTTCAACAAGAAGATTAACTGTTTGTCTGATTCCTAGTGCTGGCAGACACGCTCGTGCGATCCTCGATATCTAACAACATAGAATGGTCGTCCTGTTTCCAATGTCGTGTGTGATTTCTTGACGTTTGTCGTTATCAGGAGGACGCCAGGGTGGACATTGAGGAGGAGGCCGGCAACCAAGGCTTCGTTGTCGAGGACTTGGCAGGTGAAATCCTGGTTGATCCCGTGGAATCGATGGCCACGACTCCATAGAAGCTCTTCTCTGTGTGGAAGCAGTGTGTGGTTTGTGCTGTAGTCTAAGGTACGATTTGTCAAACTGTAGCTATTGTAGTGTTCTTTCAGCGAGAATGGGTATAGATTCCGCCACGTACATGTGTGGTCTACCCGATGGTATTTGTGGTTGAAGAAGTGGCTCTGTGCAGTCGCGATATGATAGGGTATCCCTCGATGGCGGAGAAGTGCAAACTGGCCGTAATCGCCATTCGAGTGCAATGGTCGAACGGCCATGGTTACATCTTCATTGGCCTGGAAAGGGTCAAGCCACTCCTTTTTCAACATTCTTCATCCTGCATTTCAAGGCCACCGTCACGGGGTCTTTATATCTGCCTGAGTGAACTGCGTATGCCCGTATTTCTTTGTTTGGGCGTGATTGATCTTGAGCGCTTGTTCACGAGCAATGATACGTGTTGCAGCGACCATTGGTCGGAGTATTACTATGTACCACATATTTATGTTGTGTGTCATGCTGTTGTCGAGGCAGATAGGGGCTGGCTGGTCAAATCGCCGTTTACTCCGCCTTCAAATCGACCCCCACAATTCCCTAGAAGTAGTTCTTGGCGTTTCACGAGAAAGGCACGCTCTTTTTCGAAAGTAGCTTTCTATTAACGAGGACGGATAGAAACTATGGATATTGTTGCTCGACTGTATGTCTAGATCTTCGACGTTGCGTACTCGATGGTAAGAGCGGGTCTTATGTTCTGAGTGGGCGGGGAGAAGGGGTGTATTTTGCGGCAGGAGAAGTGTCCGCTGGCCACAATCGTTAGGCGAGCGCAATGGCCAAATTGTCATTGTTTATTCCTTGACGAGGAAAGGGTCGGGCCACTTCGTGCTGTCAGTACTTCACACTGAACTGCTACGACAGCTTCACGCTGTAGATTCCCGATTTTTCTGGGCATGATTGATATCGTAGAGCTTTTGCACGCATTGATTGGGGCTCCACTTCAAGCATTGGCCACCTGCCGTGTTGTTATTTTTAGTGTGTTTGTGTAACGTATTGAGGGACAAGCAGTGTACATGATAAGAAGTCCGTTAGACAACATGTGATGATAAACGTTTGAGTTCCGGTCTTAGATCAAGATCTGGATGTACTGTAGTTGACTTGTCGTTTCAAGGGCACAAGTATTTTGTGCTGGCGTCATTGGCCTTGTGCCAAATCCTGTTGCGGGCGTCCGAATCGGTGCAGTGCCACTTAGTGGCCATGCGATCCATGCGATCCATGGCCTACAGTACTGCGTGAGTGGTTAATGAAGAACGGTGATGCTAATTACGACACCGGTGCTGTCAACTTTTCCGACACCGCTCGAATGCTTCGAAAATCACTTCTTCACTGTGTACCCACGTGTCTCAGCTGTCACGCAAGCCCTCGTTGGCCTCAACTGAATAGTGGTTGCCGAGATTGCCACAAAATGATGTCAAGGCAACACCTCGGCGGTAGTTTGGTATATGCGCTTAAGACGACACCGCTCGAAACTCTTCGCAAACACCTCCAAAGGACCGAACTGGGCCGCGTTCACACGAGGACAGCAGAATTTTCTGCCCACCGCAGATAGCATTACGGTAAATTGTCGCGTGCCAGCACCCGGTGAACCGATAGAAGATGTCCGACGGCAAAGTATTCCGCAACCTAGGTGTCAACGTCAAACTCACGACTATGTCCTGGAACATGCAAGTGGACTTGTCTATCTGGGGCGTTGCACCCCCATCAGTCGGCAGCAGCTGGCCTGACGGTACGCCAGGGCACGACTTTACCGTCGCGGACAGGCATCTAAGTCATTTCCTCAAGATTTGCGCTGTTCTTTCTCCTGCTACGTAGTCGCCGGTCCTCGTGCGCCTGTTAGTTGTTGAACACTCATACGTGTCTGTTCAGGGCATCGCGTACAGGGCCGGCCCGCTCGTGGGAAACACACACTATTGTGGGGTCTACACCTTGTTGCCGCAGCGATATGGGCTAAATCTCTGAGGTCTCAATTTCTTGTTCTCGGACAAAACTGGGTATACCCACCCCGTTCTCGGACAAACGTGGGTACTCGAAAATATCGCTTCGCAGAGACCACTCGTGGCAGAGGCTAACCACTCAAAACCTAATTCCAGCACCTGAACAACACGGTCAGGGTCAATATACAGCACGAACTTAAGCTTTCACGAACGTTCGGGCACGCCTTCAGCCACACCCCGTCGCGGCGCACAACGCTTTGCCCGATTTTGTCCGATATTCTGGTGGGTATGCCCACCGAAGTCTACTAAAAAAGTTTCATTTTCTTCTGTTATGTGACCCACCCTTTTCGAAATGTATCCTTTTTTTGGCCTCTAAAATCGGGTCTCCCATGGGTCACCCATGGGCCGCCCATGGGCGCCCCGGTTAGGCCGATGGGCGGCCCATGGGTCAACCGTGGGTCACCCATGGGCACTTTGTTGCCCATGGGTTGCCCACGGGTCACCCATGGGCATGCCCATGGGTAGCCCGTGGGCAGCCATGGGCGGCCCATGGGCAACCCATGGGAGGCCCATGGGCGACCAATGAGAGCCCTTCAACCGAACCAGTGTACTACCAGAGTGTAGTCCTAAACAATAGTTTATCTGCTTTGGAACGGGCACTTTAACGGCTAATAATCCTAACGCTAACCATAACCCTAACCCCAAGCCCACACGATACGTGCTAGGTTGGCGCTGGTGGCTAAGTTCTATGTCGATGTGAAGGTGGCTTAGTTCTAGGTTGATATGCCGGTGGCGAAGTTCTAGGTTGACGTGCCAACGGTGGGCACTTCATGAGCCGCCTATGGGTCGCTCATGGGCATGCCCATGGGTCACCTATGGGCAGCCCATGGGCAGCCCATGGGCGGCCCATGAAGTGCCCACGAGCGGCCCATGAGTGACCCACGGGTATCCCATGGGCTGATTAACAAAACTGTCAGTAGTGTGGGGGATTGCGATAATCGACCTTCACGTCACCGAACGGGGAAACTATAACAAACCGAAGAATAAAAGGACAAAGGTGGACAAAGCGGGCACATTGCGGACAACAGGGGGAATAAAGTAGAAAACGAGTGGGCCCATGAAAAAGTAATGGTGGATTTTGTGAGCATACCCACCGGATTTCCGGAGTAACTGGGGCAACCTGTTGAAGCCTTGTGCTCCACGGCGGTGAGCGGGCTGAGGACGTGCCCCAAAGTTCGCAAACGTTGATGTTTGTGCGTTTGTGCTGAATACGTATGCCAAAAGTGACCATCGAGAATGGTGGTATCGTTTCCAAGCCACGAAACGCCAGTTTACACCTACAAGACATGGAGGGTGCCTCAACCACTTACGATGGTACCTGATTCCGCTGTACCCGCCAAGCAGCAAGTGCAAGTGTTGAGGCAACAGCACTGTCACTGCAGTTGCTGTACAGCTATTCCTTCAGCTGTGGCTACAAAGTAGCTGGCATGTGATGCGAGGTTAGGTAGGCAAACACACAGAGTGATATTATTATCCACACAGACGCCCAAGCTGTCTTCACCTGACGGTTACAGACTTGACAACGCCTTCACAATACCGCATAAACCCATGCAGTAGAATAGAGTCGTTCTTGTACCGCAATTACTCCAACATGTCCTCTCAAGAACTACGTCATTCTAGTACCAATGCATCAGATCCAATTCTCTCTCAATGTCCTCTCGAAAACAATATCCATGTTAAGAACTTCTGACTCAATATCAATTGTTTTGCCTTTCTCAGCTGCGTTGCATCAGCAGCGATATATTTTCCTTCGACACAAATCTCCCGAATTTTCTTCTAACATATACACACACATACACCATCCAACCCTCAAGACATAAAGTCTGATTACGAAGAGGGGAGGTGATCAAACTCCTAACAGCATGCCACGGGCGCGGAGAAACTCCGACGGGTTTAGCCCTTTCGTAAAAATGTCCGCTTTCTGAAGCGACGTCGATATTTGCTTCACGTCTACGACTCCATCAGCTACCAGCGACCTTACGTGGTGAAACTTTACGTCAATGTGCTTCGTCCTTGGGGTGATACGGAAGCTGCGAGTTAATTTTAGAGCTCCCGAGTTGTCCTCCCACACCACGGTTGCTTCTTCCTGAGTCTGATTTATGGTGTCCAGCAGGTGGCGGAAGTACTTGATGATGTTGCACCCCTTCGACAAAGCCACGAACTCTGCTTCAACGGAAGAGGTCGCCACCACCGTCTGCTTGGATGATGTCCATTCCACCGGTCCACCAGCGAAGTACAACACGACTCCCGTGGTGGAGTAGCCCTTGTCTAGGTCGCCTGCAAAATCTGAGTCGACAAACGCCTAATGACGTTTCCATCTCCGGCGTCCTCGCCGTAGCGTACACCGATTGATATCGTACCTTTCAGGTACCTGAGTACGCGTTTGAGTTTCTGCATCGCCCTCGGACCTGGTTTCGCCATACTCCGCGTCAGAACCATCACGGAGTGTGTAATGTCGGGCCTTGTGCACCTGCTGAGATATAGAAGCGAGCCTGTGGCGGAGCGGAAATATGTGGTATCCTCCGCTGACAGCACCTCGTCCTCCAAGACGGACACCGGTCCAGCCTCAGACGGAGATGTCGTCGGACGCGCGTCGGCCATGCCGAACTTGTCCAACACTGCGTTGGTATACGCTTCCTGTTCCAAAAGAATCGTCCCTGCGGCTCTGTCTCGGTTGATTCCCATACCGAGTAGGAATCTGGCTCCTCCCAGGTCCACCGTTTCGAAACGCTCATTCAGCTGATCGACTATGCTCAGCACTTTGTTCTCGCCCTCCCCGGTCAGCAGAATGTCATCCACATAAACGAGAAGGAGCACATCTCCGTCGTCCAGGATGTACAAGCACGGTTCAGCGGTGCTCTCAACAAATCCGATCTTCAGGAGAAAGTCGTGCAGAGTGCCCCACCAGCCTTTTGGGGAAAAACGCAACCCGTAAAGCCATGCTCTGAGCTTCCAGACTTGCCTGGCTCTCCCGCTGTCGCACGAGAATCCTTCCGGGGGAATGACGTACACTGGTTTCGATCTCGGTTCCATCCTCGCGTGGAGGAACGCCGTCCTGATGCCGGCTTGGCGAAGAACAAGTCCATTCTTGGCTGCATGCGCAACTATCAGATGGACGGCTTGGAGAGACGCTACCGGTGCAGCATTGTCGGTTCCGGTCTCAGCTTCGTAAAATCCTTGCACTACGATTCTCGATTTCTGTCGAACAGCGATGCCGGCCTCGTTGTACTTCCATTTGTAGATGTATTTTGACGGGATGATTTGACCATCGCACGGGGGGTCGACCCACTCATAAACGTCGTGGTCTAGCAAGGAGCGATTCTCCTCCTCCATGATTTTCATCCATCCAACAGCATCTGGTCCGTTGACCGCTGCGCGGTAGTTCGGTGGATCGGCGGGCATGTATCCTAGTTGGCCAGGTATCCCTTGACCAAGGTTCCCAATCTCACCTCCGATCACCAGCGCGTATTCCGTTTCGAACACCTGCTCCGTCGTAAACAGGTTCAGACGGTCCCGCGGCCTTGTCGTACGACCGCTTTTGCGCACCGCGGGTGGTTCTTCGTCCGGTCCGTCGTTCGTTTCTGCTAGTTCTGGTTCCTCGTCTTTTGTCTCGGCCCCAGTAGTGATGATGCCGGGCTGGAAAATCTGGCCTTGTTCGGGAAATGGGTCAGACCCGTGCATGGGGCGGGCGACGTCGCGGGCATCTACCTCGCGGAATGACACTTCAGCAGAGTTTGTAATTTTGAGTGGTTCCGCCGGGTCCCATAGCCGCCACGTCTTGCTGGTTGTATTGTATCCCACCATGTAATACTTCTTGGCCCTGGCAGAAAACTTATCGTTTCGCGAGCGAGCTTCTACGTGTTTAAACGCTACAGACCCCCACTCATGCATGTGCTTCAAGCTGCCGAGTGGTTTGTCCTCCCAAACCTCAAGTGGTGCTTTGCCGTCCAGGACGTCAGTAGGTGTGTGGTTCTTGATGTAAATGGCGGCCTTCACGGCTTCCGCCCACAGTTGACGCGGTAGGTGCGGAGCTCCAAGCATGAGACTACGTGCTGCACCGATGACGGTCCCGAAACCGCGTTCGGCGACAGCATTCCCTTGAGGGACGTACGGGGGGCTTGTCTCCACAGCGATCCCGAAGGACCGACACATTGCTAAGAACCTACCCTTGAAGTCGGCTGCGCCATCGCAATGGATTTTCCCGATGCAGATGCCCTCGGGATCGGCGACTTCTTTAATCAGTGTTTCGAGCGCGTCAGTCACTCCATCCTTTGTCTTCAGGGGAATGCCCCACCGCATGCGAGATTTATCGTCGGTGAACATTACGATATGCTGACATCCGCTATACGATGGCACACCATGTTTTCCCCACAGGTCGAGATGCATAAGCATCATTCGCGTCAGTGAACGGGCGCGGCCAACCGGGGGGTGACTCGCCTTCTTGCTTTTGGATACATCGCACACTTCGCAGTCACCTGGTTGAATGTTGGTGATGAACTTGATGCCGGTGCCTTCCTTATCCGAGAGCTGCTTCAGGGCGCGCGCATTGCAATGTCCCATCCTCCGGTGCCAGACACCGGCATCGGTATCGGCACGGAAAACCAGCGGAGAACTAGGCAGGTCGAGATTCAGGTCGTCCAGGATGAGATTCACGACGTACATTCGAGGCACCTCTGCTGTTGATATGGGGAAAGACAGGTTCCGGCTTCGCAGGGCCGGAGGTGCCGAAAGTAGATCCGTCTTCACCCCCTTCTCATCCAACGCTCCGACAGAAAATATGTTTGCTCCAAGATCCCGCACAAGCAGAACCTCCAATTCTATCGGGACGGGTTGACCTTTGTCATTCTTGAGTTTGAACTTCAGCGTACCTTTCTTGGTGGCGCTGGATGTGCCGCACGAACCCTTGATGCGGACGTCGCAGTCAACCAAGTCGACTACATGTTGTGAGACTGGGCTCTCGCCGCTTACCATGTGTCCCGAAGCGGCGGTGTCGATGAACACCCTCGTATGCTCGGCGGGCGCTGTCTTGTCCACTGCACGAAAAACGTTGGTGTACGCGACCAGCTCCTCATGCTGTATCGCGGCAGGCGGGTCCATTTCCTGCTCGTAGGAGGCAGCAGGCTCCTCGGTTTCCTCTGCTGTGGCAGGCGCAATCGGCACCTGCAATGGGACAGCACGTTCCAACAATGGTAGCGAAGCTGTGGCAGGCGCAGCCAACACTGTTTCCTCTGCTGTGGCAGGCGCAATCGGCACCTGCAATGGGACAGCACGTTCCAACAATGGTAGCGGAGCTGTGGCAGGCGCAGCCAACACCTGCCCTACATTGACATCGGACGCCTCCTCAGGGGTCGATGCAGCAGGCGCAAACGGCACCTGCTCGGGATCGCCTATGGCGATGTCGAACGATTCCAGCGTGAGGTCGACCTCGCGCGCGTGCGTGAGCCACGCCTGTGTCGTGGCTTCCGCGATCGTGTTGACCTGCTGCTGCTGCTGCGGTTGCTGTTGTTCACGGTTCGAAAACCGCGTGGCATTGGAGGCGCGAAGCGGGCAGTTCGTCCAGGTGTGTTCCGTAGAATTGTGACAGTAACTGCATAAGCCGTCCCTGTCGTACCCGCGTCTTTGCTGTGAGTGGTTTGGCCGTCCAGAGGGCCGGTTGTCGGAAGACGCACCACCAGCTCCGTTGCCAGAAGTTGCGCCGCCATGGTTCTGGTCGTTGCTGTTGTTCCCCCTCGACGACCCGTTGTTACGGTTCGACGAGTTGTTCCAGCTGCCACGTCCGCGTCCACCGCGCTGCGCGCGTCCACGACCATGATGACCGCCGCCCTTACGGAAAGAACGCGCTCCACCGTGTGTGACGGTATTCAGCGCACGGCTGCTGCTTCCGGACGCGTTCTTCGAGGCAACTTTACCACGAATGTGCATCGCGTGGAACGAAGTGGCTCGGTCGGCGACCTCCTCGAAGGACAAGACGCTCCCAGCAGCCTGGCCGCACAGCAGCCCTGTCTTGAACTCTTTGTAGTGGTCGTCCGGCAGTGCTTTCAGGAAAGCGAACGTCTTTCGGTGGTCAGCCACCGTGTCGTTATACACGGCTAGCTCCGTGCAGATCCGGCGCATGTCTTGAATAACATTGGCCGGATCAAAGTCGTGGTCCGCAGTAACTGCCAAAGATATGAACTTCTCGTGCAGCTCCTGCGTACGGTATACCCCAGCGGCCTGGTACTTTCGTTCCAGGGCGAGGAATGCTCCACGACCGTCTCCGTTGTAGGAAGACCCGATAGGCGCGTATGCCTGCACAGTCTGTGAGGCCGCGCTCTGGTAGCCCCCGGTTTCAGATGTAGCGAGCATCAGCCGGGTAAAGATCTGTCCGTTCTTGTCCTGGTATCCTTCCAGGGCAGTTTGGTATGCCAAAGTCAGGTTTGGCGTAGCGCTTGGTCCAGGATCCGTAGGGGCTTTCTCCACTCCCAACAGAACCTTGTGCAGCTTGTCCTCCATAAATAAGGAGGTCTGCAGAGTTCGCCAGCCGACGTAGTCGCCTGGGTCACCACTGAACTTGGCGAATCCTCTTCGGATCTCGCCTGACGAGCCGGTAGCCATGCTTACCGACGCTTGTGACTCTGGTGTACTAGCTCGAGCAACTCGAGGCTCAAAACTTGTTGAGGCAACAGCACTGTCACTGCAGTTGCTGTACAGCTATTCCTTCAGCTGTGGCTACAAAGTAGCTGGCATGTGATGCGAGGTTAGGTAGGCAAACACACAGAGTGATATTATTATCCACACAGACGCCCAAGCTGTCTTCACCTGACGGTTACAGACTTGACAACGCCTTCACAATACCGCATAAACCCATGCAGTAGAATAGAGTCGTTCTTGTACCGCAATTACTCCAACAGCAAGTATACGCTCAGCGCCCCCAGCTCCTTCTACAGGTCGCTCTGGGTGAGTCGCCCTCACAGTTGTCCGAGGGTTGAAGTCATGGCCGTTCAGGCTTCAAAGGGCATCCAGGAGATATCCCCGATTTTAGCCGAATCCAGACCGGTTTCGAACTCCGTCGATCTCCGCAGGACGTACTGCATCGAAAACGAAACGCTGCCGTTCGTAGCTACTGTTGCAATGTTGCCCATGGCAGGGCGTTGGGCGACGCACATCATCGTTTTTCATGGCACTAGTCTCGAGGGAGACATCCTCCCCGTCCTTCACGTCTATAGAATACTATGTAAGCACCCAAAAACATCTAGGCAAAACAACTTTCTTTCCATCGCCAGCAACAGTTTACACCCCGGGAGAGCCCACCGCAAAGGGCGACAAAGGCAATACCCGGTGTTTTCCTCGATTCGACGAATGCACACCAACGTCACCATCGTGTAAATGGGACCACTTCGGGACTCTACTCTCGCTGTGGACGATGCCTTGCTCGTTCTTGAGCAACAATCGGCTTTCCCCAGCCTGCGCATTGTGACTACCACGGCGCTCGCTTAACGGTCGACCTTGGGTAACGTCTTCCGGATCAAGCGGCGGTCTTTCTTCGGGGAGCGGTGCAGCTCTTGCCCCCATAGTACTGGAAGGGGAGACCTCCGTGACTTTACTCTCGCCATGGAAGATGCCTTGCTCTTTCTCGGGCCACAGTGCGATGTCTCCAGCGTGCGCATCATCGGTGCCGCGGCACTCGTTCACTGGCCGGCCTTGAGGAACGTCCTGGAGAACAAACGGCGATCCTTCGTCGTAGAACGGTGCGACTCGAGCCCCCATCCTACTTGGACGCCGGAGCTTTGGCAGTACTTCCCGAAACTTTGCCCGCACGGCCGCTCTTTCCGCCTCCTCTTCATTTGCCTGCCGAACTTCACGACACTTCTGGACCAACGCGAAAACGCCCTGAGCGAACACCGTCGTAAACAAGACAACATGCGACAAGATCAACACCGCCGAGAAGGCGGTTTGGCTTTCGCTGTTCTCGTTGCTAACGTCTACCTTGAGCAGCAGCGCAGCGTACATGCTGGCGAAGATAACACAAGATCCGGATAGGTAAAGCCAGGTCTCGATTGGCTTTTCGAACGGGTCGAGCACTTCAGACAAGACCAAAAACCCGAAAGCGAGCAACAGCAAAATGGCGACTTGCGCGGCGCTGTTCGGGTTTATAAAAACACCCAGACCAGTAAGCGCAATTCGACGAACGCATTCGATAATTATGAAGTACCACGTTTCACCCTTGTACGACTCCCAAAGAGCTTTGGCTGGCTCTAGGTCTGCATTCTCCGCGCGAGAAGGTGATCGTAGATCGTGCCGGTTGCGCCTCAGCCACCACCCGAACAAGGCAGGAATTCCCAAGGGATATACCAACACCATGACGCCGGCATAGACGCGAAAGGCAACGTGCCGCCTTGAGAAACACACAAAGCCATAGTCCGCCCGAAGGTACGAAACTCCGTCCTCCAACGTTTCGCAAGAAAAGGTGAGGAAAATGTCGCGAGAAACCGAGGAATAGACAAAAAAGAGGATAAAAATCGCCAACGATAGGTGCTTCCGCCGGACCGTGAGCTGTACAGAGTCACTTGGGATGTTCCTGTTTCTCAACCTTGCAATGACGTGCGTAGCTTGGAGTACGCCTAGCACCGCAAGGGGGCCGAGAGTTTTCCATAGAAGGCGGTCGAAGAAGTCGGTCTTGACTAAGCACGAAAAGGAGAGCAGGTCTCTCACGTTGAAATTAATCACGTTCAGCCTTTCGACGAACGCCTCGTAGGTGTCGGGGTCGTGCGCGCCTGTCATTTGCGCAAACTTCCCGCGAAAGGTTGGCAGAAGAAGCCCATCGAAATGTCGGCGGCGATTGGCAAAAAGACACAAATTACGCCTAGAACGGTGAGTTTCAGGCGCCGCGTTGCAGGACATAGACCGCCCGAACTGCGTCGGAGTGACGTGGTGCGGTGTTTTCGAGCTGCGGTCAAGGAGACATGCTTGAGCGTGGACGACCACCCCTGATCGTTGCGACCACCTTTCGGCTGGAAAACGGGATGGTTTTGGTTGCGTTGGCCTCGGAATCACGGCCTATTGCTTGATTAAGCATGTGGCCTCGGATAGGATGTACTGGTCTCAGTGGTCGTGACTGTTGTGAAACACGAGACGATGCTGAAAAGGGAACGTATTGAACTCGTTACGTCTGCACTGAAGAAAGGAGATGGCATTCGTGACTGACTGTAAAATCGAGACATCCGTGGAATGATTTGGTGTGTAACAAACAATCCACGATCTGCTCAGGTGACTACTCTATTCGAACATCTTACAATAATTGCGTGACAACGCGTTGCAGTAGTCCCTTACCTTTTTCTACCTTCCACCTACGTCAAAGACAAAAATTATTAGCGCATTCCGTGGCACTGCGTTACCACTATAATTGTTGACAATACCTGCATAACAATCTACCAGACGACCACGAGAATCTTGACGGAGACCATCGGAAGGGCTTCCACGAACCGATGACGGATGATCGCCACGGTTTCACGGATCTTCCCGCTGCGCTCGCCGGAATGACTGACTCCAGTAAGATCCAAAACCACCGTTCCGCCGATCACCAGAACCAGCAATGGCCCTACCACCAACCATGCCACTGCCGTGTCTCCCTTCTCTCCCGTGCAGCGGAAGCAGCTATATGTTGAGCCATGTGCATAGCCCTCGCTGCATGTTGCACAGTCTGAAGGACAACAACGAAAGGGAGCAATACGCACGACAGACCCGGAAGTTTTCACTGAGCACCTGCGCCTACCGCACTTTTAGGGGTAACGACACGATACGCGTTCAGTCACTTCCGCATTTGCGCATGGTGCCAGCTAAGACCGATCAATACAACAGACGCCATGTAGAATACTGCCTGCATCTAGAAAAGCATTGTTGGACACCACGAGGTGTACGCAGCGCGTCACAAGAATCGACTGTTCCCATTTCGGCATATGAAGAAAATGCGGATATCGATCCTAGGACAAGGAAAAGCAGTGCGTGGTACAGCTTTCCTGCTTGGGTATAAAGTACGCCACGCCACGGAGTCGAGGAGGAATTCAGCCCGCACACGTCCATGCGCGTGCCTCCTGCCGAAGGCCCTCTTGAATCCTGCCCAGGGCCGGTCCTTCGCCCGCACCTCCCACGAGCTGCAGACAAGTTGGTTGGGGTTCGGTTCCTTCCCAAGACGACGATGTTCTAGAACATGCGGTACATATATGTGTTCAGGCAAGTTCGCCAAGAATCTCCATTCACGTATTTACCCTCAAACCGTTAATCGCTTACATGGACCCTCATATCCAGCGGCGCAGTAGCCATCATGACTGGTATCGGTGCCACCCTTGCACGCGGATTCTTGGAAGCACTCCCGAACCGTATGGCTTGTGTTTGATGTTCGGTAGTACCCGGGCTCCTGTTCCAGCGTTTCAAGAGTAGTTCCTCCCGTCGTTGCCGAGTTGGTTCCGGTTGGGACTTCATCGCACACTGGGACGGCAGCCGGACCCGCCACTACGACGCCGTTTGACACCTCTTTGCACTCAGTAGAGCATTATGCGCAAACGGCATGAAATCGGCAAGCCTCTGTGTCCTGTGAGGTTCCAGGAGCACAACGTTTCGTCACACGGGAAGACGCCCCACAAACCTCATCAGAACACCACAGGCCCATCGCCAAGCTTCTTCGTGGGCCGCAAGCCCCCAGATGGTTGCTACAGGCCAAACCGCGTAGAAGAACCGAAAACTCCTGCAGTCGACATTCGCAACGAAGATCTTCTACCAGAGAATTTCCTTCCAACTGAAAATAAACACCGTTACATTTGCAGCTCGTATCTGCTGTTCGGATTGATTTCAAATCTGTTCCGTGGGAGGGTTCACATAGACAGACAATCTGAGCGTACACCACAGGCAGACCACGGGGCGTTAACCCAGTGCACGTGCAGTGAACTCGACTCTGATCGCGTGCCGTTCATACCTCAGTATTGTCGTAGCCATAAGTTCCAACACCACAATGCTGCACGTTCTCAGCGAAGGTGAGACCATCCATGGAGCGAAGTGGTCCCAGACTCATGACGGCATAGCCTTCCTCTCCGGCCATGTTGGACTTGAAGGTACTGCCCGAAAGCGTCAGGAGCACTGACGAATGCGCCAAAGCCCCTCCTGACGATGCTGTAAACGTTTTGCGCCGGTGATGCGTGGCGGGTGGTTCGAGAAACGTCGGACGATATAGTTGCATGGGAGGTCAAACCAATCGATGTATTTGCCAGCAATCGGCGGCGTCGCAAACGGTCTTCTCCAGCTACATCGGCTACCTTCTCGGGGTTTCCCGAGCGTTTTTTTTTTCACAGCCTGTACAGCTATGACTAACAAATACAACTATTTGTCGGGTAAAGGTCCAACTACCCCGTATCAGGTCGTTGATTGGGATGAACTACATAGTCACACAAGATTCTAAGCCGCTAGTTGATTGCAATCAACAGTAGTCACCCAAGATTCTGAGCCACTAGACGATTGGAATCAACTATAGTCACCCCAAGATTTTCAGTCCGTAAGTTGATTGGAATCAAGTATTGTTACCCAAGGTTTCTAGTTTGCAAGATTCTGACCAAGCAGTTCTTTGGCAAACAACTTTTGGAAGCTTTTTCATTTTTTTTTCTCATTGTGATAGCAAGAGGCGCCTCACGCACTAGCGGGAACAAATCACGACCTTTTTCACACTTTTGTGGAGCCTTTGGTTATTTAAAGTTTTGAAGCAGTTGTGTTGTATTGCGTTTATCCAGTAGTTGATTAGAAACCCTGTAGTTGCACAAGATTCTCACCTTTTTTTGTTTGGAAATAACTACAGTTGCGCAAAATTCTGACCAAATAGTTGTCTGGCAAAACTAATACAACTGTCGTAGTTGTACAGGGTGTGGTTTTTTATGTATGGTCATGTGTCCCACACGATTCCTTTTGGCGTCACCTACGAATCGTCGTGTCATGTACCTGCGAAGTTATTGCTGAAGATCGAGTCTGAAACGTGATCGAACCCAGAGGCAGAGTAGATACCTCCACCATCGCTGGCGGAGTTGCTGTCAAACGTACAAGCCGAAGTCACAGCTGCAGACCCTTGCACGGTTTCATCCTCGCCGCATGAGACGAGGGCCACTGCACCTTTAGAAACAACCACGGGCACGATGCTGAATTGAGTAAGCGTTTCAGCTAATCCTACCTGGAAACCTTTTCTTTCAAGACCAACGAAAATCTTCGGTGCCCTTCGTCCGCTGAGCCACACACGATGGAACGAGCTTATAGGGAAAACCGGTGGTTTTATAGCTCGTACCCCTTGTGCGGCCGTGGTATCAGGCGGAAGCAAACCACGAGCGCACTCCTCCTCGTACGCTATGCCTAACGGTAAGCCTGTCGTGCCCTCACCTCCCCAAGTAGCATCATTCGATCGAAACACAGCGTTGTCTAGTGTCACTTTGTCGCAGCTCCCACCATAGAAGGCCCCACCCGAACCAGCCACTCTATTGGACTCGAAAACCGCCCGGCCTTGCACTCCAACCTCCGGGCACTGAGTAGTATGCACCGCACCTTAGCACAACACACGGAGTTAAGGCAAATGAAAGAACCGATGGAATGTTAATAAGCCTCAAGGCTTGCACGTATTTCATGCTTGGTTGAAAACAAGGGCCAAATCTGAAACTATAGTGCGGGGAGACTATCGATGTTCCAGCGGCCAGACATTCGCAATGACGACCAACAAAGGGCTGTCGAGCAAAGGTACAGTTTTGGAAAACGTAAACCTACAATTTCTCACCTCCATCGATGCCCGCAATGTTAAACTGAAACGTTGCATTGCCAGCAATCGTGAGAAGTGAGCTTTGCACGTGAAGGGCCCCTGCAACGTAGGAAATACGATAGCACCGGTTAGGATTTTCCTGATTTCTGGCATGTAACAGGACCGTGAGGAGGACTAAGCAAGAGTATTTTTATCGCGTTGCAGCGAGAATTGGAGCAGCCGAGTTCATCCCGAAATTGCTGCAGATGTCTACATGCTCGTCAGCTCTGCGATGTTAAACAATTTCGTCGTACCTCCGCTGCTGTTTGTCGCTCCATTTCCTGTGAACGAAGTAAGTCCGTTGATGGTCAAGACAGCCGCGTCGATGTCCGCGACACCCTCCGCTCCGTCGAAGGAAATCGCTCCTGATTGCAACGAGCGAACGATGACCATGACACTGCCTCTGCTATTGACATCGAAATGGCGCTACCTTGCAACGCTTGTGAAAGCGCACCCTGGGGTAGCTCCATGAATAGGCGAAGGGTGGGGTACTCTGTACGTAACAGAGTAATTTATCCCTGAACGGGGAAACCCGGGGCAAAATCGTTTGTTTTGTTACTTGTTTTCGTTGGGGCATCCCCTCTGCCACACCCATACGCCCTCTTCCACGGACGTCTGCTGATGGCTTGAAGTGAGTTTGGGGCTTGAAGAGCATGTGCGAGAAAGACTACGGGAAAGAAAAAGGTATCTATGTGGAAAGACGGAATCAAGCGTCCTCGACAGACGTTGGGAGAGTGTATCCCTTATGAGACCCCGATTTATGGGCACAAAATCTTGTCGATAAATCTTGATATTGGCCAAGATCTGCCAGTTTCACGATTTATGGGAGCGAAATCTTCCGACATATCTTGGCCAAGATTTCTCGAGGCCCGAAATCTGCCCTTTCGAACAAATCTTGACCCAAGATCTGTCGAGACGAGCCTTCCGACAAATCTTGAGGCGGCGAAACAAATCTTGCCTGGGTGCGGCGCGATCACCGAAGGTCAGTCAACCTAATCGTCCATAACGCCATGAAATCTGCACGTGGAACACTCGCAAGGGTCTCAAACGCACCCTGGCGTCACTGTGTCGGCGCGCCGACAGCGAACGAAAACGACCAAGGCGCGCGAACAAAATGCGTATTTGCCCTGGCTCGTTCCACGTGCGCCATCACCAGTCTGTCGAGGGACCGTTCAAAGTTCAAAGCGCACTTTATTTTGAAGTAGAAAAATAGAGGAGGAGCAACGTTTTGCCAACACAGCTCTGTCGTGTGCGACGCTTCTGTCTCCTCATCGAATCACCCCACACCCAATCTCTTTGCACCCGAGCCAGATCCGTGAGTGCAGATGACAGCGCCGGAGGTTTGACCTCGGTACGCCTGCTACATAGTGAGATACGTGCACGGGTGTAATCGGCTTCGGGTGGATGCACTTTCTTGTCAGTTGGACAGCAATGGAACAATTTTGTTTCTCCGCTTGATATGAGCTCATGGGCAACGGCTTCTATTTGCACCCCGAGGTAGGCGCCCATCGCTGTATCCACTTACAGTGTTGAAGCAATACAGCTGGGGGAGGGACGCTCCTTCTACAACTGCGTCATGGCCACTTTTCGCGACACCTTGGCATTTTCTGTGGACCAAGTGGCCGTTGTGCCTCTATCAACTTAAAGCAGAAAAGAGGAATAGCTCGCCGCTTTTTCAACATTCAACATATTCTCCCCATAAATCGCGATACCGCAAACCTTGGTGGAGACATATTGTGAGCAAATCTTGGGTCAAAATGCCAAGATATATTGGCAAGATTTTGTTTCCATAAAGAAGGGTCTGAAGGGGGCCTCCACAATTGCCTGATTATTGTCTGCCCTTGTTGTGGTGAAATAACCCGTTCAGGCAAGCATGCCAAGCCTTCGCTTGCTTGCGACCGCATCGCCCGGTGCATGGCGCGCGGGCAGGCTGACAACTTATCCTCGTGTAATTTGTAGCCGGAGAGCTGCTCAGTCCACATTGGCTGGGAAACGTTTAAATAACAGCAATGCACAAGTGTTCAGCATAAAGATCGCAGCTAGCTCTTTTCTATGGAGGCTGGGGGGGGGGGGGGGGGGGGGAAAAAAAAAAACCCAAAAAAAAAAACCCGGGGGAG